AAACAAACAAACACAAGTTCTTTATTTAAAAGTGCTTATATATGTAATTGTGTTTGCGCGCGCAAGCGTTAAGTGTACACCAATAGCTAGAGTGATAATAATTCATTGATTAAATTGTTTATTGTTTGTAATTAAGCACAAAGCTACACAATGGGCTATCTGTGCTCTGCCCACAACGGGTATCGAAACCCAGATTCTAGCGTTGTAAGTCCGCAGGCATACCGCTGTGCCACTGGGGGGCTCATTAATTAAAACCAAACAAAATTCACAAGGACCAACAGCTATCAACACTGAAATAATCTGTACACTTAGTCGTATGCAACATATATATATGTGTAGACCTGTCTCATTTCTGTGTTGTACCAATGTTGTATCGTCTTGAATCTATATATATATATATTTATTTATAATAGCGAATGATTTCATATGTGAAATGAATAGTTGCGTTTCGTAATTTCTTCTAAGAATCAAATCATAGGATAAGCAGAAATAAACTGAAATTTAATAATCGCCTGAGGTGTTTTTTCTTTTTGAATAAGACTGTATTGAGTTTGTTTTCAGGCAAAGAGAAAGAGGTCTTGTTGCTTGTTCACAATCTGCGTCATTACCTTTCCGATAGGAACGTTAAGTGCTAGGCTAGTGACCCACGCAGGCCTCGTTACGTTGACGGCAGTGTTACTGGGAAAAAGATTGAGGTGACGTAGTTATATTTTTAACGTGCTTTCTGTAACCACCAGAGGCCGCTGAAATGTTACGATGGTAATTTTTGCAAATTAATTTCCCACCCTTCCCTTCGGGTCGTTGACAATGCGCACTTTTTGTAGGCTTTTCAACAAGAAATAATCTATTACAAGCATTGAGAGGTCACAAGCATACACTAAAACCCTCTTTTCAATCGTGCCTGATCTTTTCAAGCTTAGCCCAGAAAAACTTGGTAATGCACAGATAAGTAATGTGACATTTGAAGCCCGATGCTTCAAGGTTGAAGAGAAAGAAGTTCCTTACTGAAACATTTAAGAAACACTGTAACGTGTTTGATTACTCTTTACCGCATCTAAATGCTCACTAAGTGTTCGAATCCAGTAAAAGTAATCCTGAAACACCAGACACATTAAAAGTACGTTTTGAAATCATCATGAGACACATTAAAAGTACGTTATCAAATCATCATGAGACACATTAAAAGTATAAGTTTGAAATAATCAAGAGACACATTAAAAGTACGTTTTGAAATCATCATGAGACACATTAAAAGTACGTTATCAAATCATCATGAGACACGTTAAAAGTACATTTTGAAATCGTAATGAGACACATTAAAAGTACGTTATCAATTCATCATGATACTCATAAAAGTATCGTATAAAATCATCATGAGACACATTAAAAGTACATTTTGAAATCGTCATGCTTTTAGAGCTTTTTCCGAAATTTCCGATCACAATTTCCCATTGGTCTTTAAATCATCTCATTTCAGCGGGATTCCTACAAGTTACCTGCTTCTTACCAGAACAATATAGTTGTCTTGATTATTTCAAAACGTATACTTTTAATGTGTCTCATGATGACTTCTGTTATATTTAGTTTCCCGGAAAGACATTGTTTGCCATTACAAGTGAGAACATATTGAAATTAATTTGATAATTCCAATTTTATATTTATTGAGACTTTAAGATTATTGAGTGGGTAATTCATTGTTATCTTGATCGATATGTCAATTGTTGCAATGATGGGCGCGGTCCTCTGAGAGCGCTTTGGATTTCTTATCTGGCAAGCATGGTTTAAATCGATGCGATACCACAAAATGTTCCCCGCATTTTAAGCTGAGAGTGCATTATAAGTGTGACAGTCAATCATTTAGCTTGGATGATGGTTTGAGTGGTAGGATGCTACCGAATGCCTGTCTTCTCTTTGGTCAGTAGTTTGAGATTAGGGACGACGGCTATCTGACATCTTACTCTAAGGACTGTCCATCAGTATTTGTGTGTGTGTGAGTTGGCGGGCTCGATTACCGTAGTTTTTGATATGGTAACTGGAAAATGTCCGACGCCTGGGCTATTTTGTTTTAGGATTTTTGCACGAGAAAGATGGTAAAAATTCCCTGAAATACAGACGTTTCCACTTTTCTTATAGGCTTTTGGCTTTAAATTTAAAGACATGAGTAATTAATCAGTTAAATGAGTCAATTATTTCCTTCCACAAAACAGGGTATACAATTAGCATATAAGAGGATCATTGGGGATTTATTAACAATAGGAAGGGGAACATTATCCCTTGTACAATTTGTATTTCCTTAACGAGTACCCTCAGCTAGTATTAATTAATAATTACCAAAATACCAAAGACTATAACGTCGAAACATGTAGAGTCGTCAAC